GACATGGGGCTGGGGTGAGTGGGGTGGGGTGACTGCAGCCCCCCTAGAGCAAGAGCACCTGGGGCAGGGAGCCCCCCCTTCCCCGCCTGTCCACAGGGAGAGGCCCCAAGGATGAGGACAGAAGTCTTCCGGGAAGGGAGAACAATTACTGGAAAAGAAAACAGATTCCACCCCCCAGTCATGGGGTCCTGCCCACCCCCAGCTCCCTCCCCCAGGTCCCCTCCCCTTCCTGAGTGGGTTACCCAGCCCTTCTGAGAGTGGAGGGGTGGCCAGGGGAGGGACGGAGTGGCTGCGGAAACCCCTGCTGTCCCCCCCGTGGCCAGACCTCGGTCACCGAGGACCTCCACACACTGGGGAAGGGAGAGGGCCGCAGGGACTCCACTGTGACACAGCAGGGGGCCCAGCCACTGTGGGGGGGGAACAGGGTGCTCCCAGGTCTGGGACCCCAGGGGCTGCAGTGAGAGCCTTGTGTGTGTCCGTGACCATGACCTCTGTGAGGGCGTCACACCCAGAGGCAAACTGCTGTGGGGAGAAACATAACTGAGGCCCAAACCTCCACCCTGGCCGGTGTGGCTCAGAGGACTGAGCGCTGTCCTGGGAACCAAAGGTTGGTGGTTTGAGTCCCAGTGGGGTCACATGCCTTAGTTGTCGGCCAGGTCTCCAGTACGCAGTGCGTGAGAGGCAACCACACATTGATGTTTTTCTCCCTCTCTTCCTCCCTCCCTCTCCCTCTCTCTAAAAATAAAACCTAAAAAAAAAAAAAAAAAGAAATCTCCTCCTAACCCAGAAAAGCTCTCCACACACACACTGTGTTATTGAGTCAGCACTAAAGCAGGTGAGTGCATCCTAAGTGTGTCTGTCGGAGACCCCCACATGGGGCTGTGGAGACCCATGGGGCCACCCCCCAGTCCACACAGGGGAGAGGGCCCGGGTGGGGGTGGTCAGATCCTCCCTCCATGGCCCAGACCACTCGTGCATCAGCATGCAACTCCCATCTGCCACTTGGGGCTGTTCCTGCAGTGCAAGCCCTTCCAGTCACGGCAGGGAGCCCTAAGAAGTCAGTCCGGGGATTAAAGTCCTGGACTGGGGGCTCCTGTGCTGCTTTCAGGACCGTGGACGGTGAGATCGGCTTCGTGGCTTCCGATTCGTCTTCTTAAATACAGGAGAGAGTGGGGATGAGGTGCCCGGGGTAGGGTAGAAAAATACGGAGTAACAGCCCTGGCTGGTGTGGCTCAGTGAACTGGGCGCTGGCCTACCCACCAAAGAGTTGCTGGTTCGATTCCCAGTCAGGGCACAGGCCTTAGCTGTGTGCTGGGTCCCCAGTAGAGGGCACCCAAGAGGCAACCACACGCTCATGTTTCTCTCCCTCTCTCTCTCCCCCTTCCCCTTTTCCTAAAAATAAAGAAATGAAATGTTAAAAACTAAAACAGAAAAATACCGAGTAACAATTTACATATGTTGTTCATACTAAAAAAATTCATTTCTTACAGGGTGTTTCCTCTGACCCAGGCCGGCCCCGCCCACAGCCTGAGCCCCACCCACCCTGCAGTCATAACTGGGTCCCGGAGCCCAGGCTGAGACAGGATCGGGGTGTGGGGGTCTCAGGGGACTCCTCAGCGTTGCCAGACCCTTAAGGCAGCAGACAGGCCACAAGTTCAAAATGCCAGAAGGCAGGTTGGACATGAAACGTTGTTATCACAAAGCCGTTGTAAAACTTTCCATCTTCCGGTTCCCCTGCTTGGCGCCCGGGGACCTGAAGCCGGTGTCAGAGAGATTTACAGCCCCCACCCCGCCCTTCCCGCCTGCGCTGAGCGGGATGCGGGCCCTTGGCTGCCCAGGTCCCCTGGGGCGCCACTCTGCTGCTCTGCAGCCCCAAGTTCACCCCCGCCCCGCCCCTGGCTTATGCCCTCCCTCCTTGAAGGGGCTGGGCCCTGCTGCTCAGCCAGAGGGCTCTACTCTCTTCAGGGCCCACCTTGTCTTCTGTGGTGCCCCCGCCAGTACGTTCCCTGCACCTCGAACCATCCTTCGGCGTCTGCTTCCCAGAGCACCCAAACTGACGCCCTCCCCACCTGTCCGGTGCTGTCCTCTCCCCACCCACTTCCTCCATTCTCAGTGGCATGGAGAAGTCAGCCGGGGACAAGGGGTGGCGCACGGAGCCACACAAGGGCCCCGTGACCAGGGACAAAGGGTGTGCAGGAGAGGCCAGAGCTGGCAGCCTCCAAGGCGCCTGAACCCGCCCGGGCCTCTCTCGGAGGGCAGGCCTGCTCCATCCCCATGGCGGCAGGCGGGCACGAAGACGCCCTCCCTGACTTTCTCCTTTCCCATCTGGGGTGCGGAGGGCTGCGTTTTCCGCCTTACCTAGTAGAGAATTTACAAATCACCGCAAAGGTCTGGTGATGCTCGACCCAGGTGACTTCTCTGAGCCCGAGCTGCTGCCCCCTGCTGGTCGAGCGAGGCGACCACAGAGGTCAGGCGGGGCCCTGGCCTGGGGCCGCGTGAGCCCCGCCCCCTCTGCCCAAGGGCGACCCCTACCGACGGGAAACTGGCTGGCGGGGCCGAGGGCTCAGAACTGTGTGGAGGAGAGAGCCTGGAGTGAGGCTGCCCAGCCTCCCGCCATTTGGGCTCCCCTTGGCCAGAGACAGCTGGTTTCTGCCTCCCAGGTGCACAGGGTCGGTCCTGGCCTTTGCTGGCTGCTCTCCAGCCTAGCGCGGCCCCAGGCCGGGCTGCAGGGCCCTGGGGCCAGAACCGGACCGGGCACCCAGGCCCACTGCCCAGAAGGACAGCTGCGGGGCCTCCGCGGCGGGTCTCTTCCCCACTCCCAGGACACCTTGCACAGCTTGAAGCAGATCTGCTCATGAGAGGGCAGGCACCCCAAGGCTGCGGGTTGGGTTTGGGGGCACAGGGACCTGACCAGAGCCCAGAGGAGGAACGGCCTAGAGGCCTCTAAGGTAGAAACAGCTACAGGGAAGGAATGAAGCTGGCCAGGCCCCGGATCCACCGAGTGTCCGGGAGATTGGAGAGCCAGCCGGCTGACTGACCACCGCCTCGGGGTGGACCGGCCAGGGCTTCCAGCCCCGCAGCGGGGTGCTACGCGCACTTTGGCCTCCAGAGGGCGCGCGAAGGCCGCGGGAAGGGGAGTAGCTCCAGGGACCCGAACGCAGGCCCCGCCCTCAGGAGGGAAGGTGGGGGCCGCCCTGCGAGGCCGCGGGCGAAACGATGGGGGTGCTGGGAACGTGGGGGCAGACGGAAGCTGGTAGACCACTGCCTGCCGAGACGCGGGGGTGCGGGGCTGTGCCTAGGAGGAGCAGGGTCTCCCCATGCATAGCCCCTCCCAGCCGGGGGGCTGCGATAAGGGAGCCCCGCGCCACTTCTCCACCAACCAGCCGCCAGAGCAGACCTCCGGGGCGCCACCTGCCATTCCCAGATGGCTCTCCACCCGGAGAAACGCGCAAGGGAGGTCTCGGCGCTCAAGTCCCGTCACGTCCCACCAGGTCAACCCCTCATCTAGGGACAGGGGTCTGTGCTGTCTGGAGACCCCGGCGGATGGGAGCCTGCGGTCCGCTCCTCCCAGAGAGCCGGCCCGGAGGTGCGGGGTTCCGAGCTGTCCTCCCGTAGCTAAAGGAGACAGGCTGCTGCGCGGAGGGTGACCCCAGAGACTCTGGGCGCGTTGGGATGGAGTCCAGGCCCTCCCACTGCCCAGCCCCCCCCCCCCACCCCAGGGGGAGATGGAGAGAAAGGTTCAGGTCTGAACCAGCCTCAACACCAAACTCTCCACCTCAAGGGGCCACAGAACTCTGGGAGCTTGAGGGGACGGTTCAGTGGCTCTTGCGCCAGCCACACCCCAAACAGCCACTGTCACCAGACCTCCTGCTTACACTCCTAAGGGTGCGTGTGCAGCCCGGGGGGCCGGAGGGCACCCCCTGGCGAGTTCACCTGCCTCCCCAGCGTCAGGGGCCCAGGGACAGGGCCCTCCTGCCCAGCAGGGCAGCAGTGGCTGGGGCGGGGTGGATGCCTAGGGTCTGGGGCACAGGCCACAGCGAGTCTGAGCTGCCCAGCTCAGAGGTGCGTCGAGAGGCGCATCAACTCTGCAGGCGCTGGCCCGGGCCCTGGGACTCCCGGGGATTCTGGCACCCGGGACCGGAGCCCACGGTCAGATGGTAAGGTCTGTGTGGACAGGAGGGGCCACAGGGTCGCAGCGGGACAAACTACAGGGCCCTCGGAGGGCTGCGGGGTCGGCGGCCCCAACAGCCACCGCTGGGATGTGCCCCGGCCGCAAGCCAGCCCCATGGGGCGCGAGTCAGGTCCGGGCCGGCGGCACACAGCAGGTGTGCCCTGGGTACGCGCTGACGGACAAGGCGCCGAATGGCCACCTGGACACCGGGCAGGCCTCTGCGTTCTGCGCAGAGAGAGGGTCAGGGCAGGCTGGCCTTGTGAGCGGACCCCGAGCCGCAGCCCAGCGAACCCGCAGAAGGCTGGGGTCCGTCCTGGGCAGAGGGTCCTGGCCCGGGCGGGGCCTCAGAGAAGGCAGCCCTGCACCAGCGGAGGAGGGGTCCACAGCCTGCAAAGGCTGCTCGGGCTGGTGGCAGCTGCTGCCCACACCACTGCCCAGAAGCCACAGAGCCCAGAGGCCCCTCCACCAGCCTCGTGGTGTGGGTCCGGCCACCACCCCCCCCCACCCCACCCGTGGAAGGGCTAACAGCTCCGCTCGAGATGAGCCCTGGCCGAAGGCCTCTCACCTGTCCCCTCACCTGTCCCCTCACCGCCCCCACCCCTCTCTGCAAAAGGGAGCTCAGCTACTGCCCGGCCGTCTGCCTCGGACGCATTCCCTGCGCGGTGCTCGGGCCCTCGCGCGTCCGGCCACTTGTGGGTCTTCGGGCTCCAGTGGGAGCACCCCTCCCCCACACCTCCTCCGGGTCCGGAGACCAAGAGGCAGCGAGCATGTGCCCGGAGGTGGGTCCCCTCCAGCCCCGGCCCCCGCACGCCAGCACCAGAAGGTCCGACCCCGCCCGCGCCCGCCCTGGCTCCGCCTCCGGCCCTCCCAGCCAACCGCCCGCGCAGCAGCCCGCCTCGGAGTCTGGCTCGGGCTGCTCGGCCGGGTGGTGGAGCTGCGTCCAGCGCGGTGAGTCCCCAGGCCCGGGCGAGGCGTGCGCGGGGCGCGGAGACCGAGACCCGGGCGCCGCAGAAGGTGCTCTGTAGGGCGCGGAGGGAATCGAGCGAGGGGGCCGCCTGGAGAGGCGCGGAAGAGGCCAGGCAAGGCTGGGAGTCCGGGGGCGGCTGGGCTCGGCCCCAGCGGCGGAGCCTGTGCTCCCAGCCCCCCAGCCCTGCCGAATCTTTCTAAAGATCTGAGGTGGGAGCTGGCGGAGACCACCGCCCGGTACCCTCGTTGGCTGGCAGCCCAGGGCTGCGCAGGCACTGGGGACGCGTCACCCAAACCTGGGTTCCCCGTGGCCCCTCACTGGGGAAGTGGGGTGAGCTTTCCTGATCTGGGAAAGGCCTGGGGTCTTGGCGGCGGTGGGGAGAGCTGCCTGCCCCAGGGGTCGGTGACCCCGGGACCGGAGCTCCCCCCGGCGGGCGGTGAGGCCCCTGTTTGACATAGATTACACAAGTATGTGAGGTGCCTAGGTGCCCAGGCCCCCTGCGCCCGGCCCCCTGGTGCCTCCTCACCCCTGGGGACCAGGACAGGCTCCTGCCTCTCCTGCCGATCCGAGTCACTGGATGATGCCCGTGAGCCTGGCGGAGGAGTTGGGAGTCCAGGCCCCGGGCGACCGCGGCCGGAAGCGCACCGGCTGCCCCTCCGCCTGACCCGGCTCACGCGGAACCACTCCGGGCGGCTCAACCCGCCTGGCTGGATGCCTGGCTGGGGACGCTGGGGACGCTGGCTATGACTGCGTGTGGCCACGCATACCAGAGCTTCTGTGAGGACAGCTCCGGGCCCCTCCACGCCCAAACCTCACTGGAGGGAAGAGGCGGAAACCAGCTTCTTTCTCCCTGCACTGCCTGGGCTCAGCACTGTTCTGGAAACTCCCGAAGCTCCCGCTGCTGACCCCGGGGCCTCAGCCCAGGCCCGGGCTGGGCAGCAGAGCCTGCGGGCCCACTCTCAGAGCCCCCACCAGCCGCTGCAGAAGTCTGTTCGTTCTCTCGCCTGTGCTCCTCCTCCCTCTTCCCGGGGCCTGAGAACTACCTCCCTGGGGGCGAGAAACACCCCTCCCCCGCCCCAGCTGCCCCTGCAGATGGCACCGCGGGGCCCCTCCTCCCACCCTGGGCCTCCATCCGAACAGAGTGGAAAGCCCAGCTCGTCACCCCAAAGCGCTCTTTCCCCCCCACTGCCACGCGCCTCTGCCCAAGAGGTCAGAGGACACAGGGCAGCCCCCACGGACTCACCCGCCGCCGGAGAAGGGCCCGTGCCCACCGCTCCCCCCCTTAAGCTCAGCCAGGCTCAGGCTCGGGGAGGGCCTCAGCTAGAGGGGTCTGCACCGAGTGAGGGGAGGGGGGAGCCCCACTTCCAGAAGCTGCAGCCTACCCCACCCCCCAAGTGGGGTCGCCAGGCTCCTTGTGCCACTGGGAGCCCCGGTGCCCCCCTCAAGCCGTGTCTCCGAAGCAGGGGTGTTCTGGTCATGCGAGTCGTGGAGGGGAGCCCGCCCCAGACAAGATGAAGGTCTTCCTGCCGGTGCTGCTGGCGGCCCTGCTGGGGGCGGAGCAAGGTGAGGCCCCCGGCCACGGTGCCCTCGCCTGGACTCCCTCCCCACCCTCCCCAGCGGTGCCCAGGGGTCCTTCCAGGCCGCCTCCCAGGGACCCACCCTGTGCAACCCAGGAGGCCCCCCCCGCCCCCGCCCCAGGGGTCCCGCCCCGGCGCCCTGCCCTCCCTCGGGTGCCCCCTGCAGCATGTCCCTCCTTCCGCAGCCCACTCCCTCATGTGCTTCTCTTGCACGGACCAGAAAAGCAACTTCTACTGCCTGAAGCCCACCGTCTGCTCGAGCTCTGACAACTACTGCGTGACCATCTCCGCCGCGGCGGGCATCGGTGAGCGCTGGCCCCACCCCACCCCACCCCGACCCTGGCCCCCGCCCCGGGCCCGCCCGCCGCCCCTCCACTCACAGCGCGCTTCCTGCTGCAGGGAACGTGGTGGACTTTGGCCACAGCCTGAACAAGGGCTGCTCCCCGGTCTGCCCCGCCCCCCCCAACATCAACCTCGGGGTGGCATCCATGGGCACCTACTGCTGCCAGAGCTTCCTGTGCAACATCAGCGCGGCCGACGGCGGGCTGCGGGCCAGCGCCACCGTGCTGGGCGCAGGGCTCCTGCTCAGCCTGCTGGCCGCCCTGCGGCGGCTCGGACCCTGACCGCCCGGCCCCGTGCCGGCCGACCCCCACAGCTCAGGAAGGAAAGCCCAGCCCCACCCAGGCCCCCCCCACCAGCCCCTGCCTGGCCCCGCCCCCTCGGCCTCAGCCCCACCATCGGGCCTGCTCCCCGCACCTGCCTCCGCCCCCGCCCCCAGGGCCCACCGCCACCCCTCACGGCCCGAGTCAGTGATGCGAGCCTCCTCGGATGGGGTCCCCTGGAGCCCGCAGCTCCAGGGGTCAGGACTGGTCTTGGGGAACCCAGCTCACCTCAAGGGGCACCTCCGTCTGCCCCAGGGCCCGCCCTGCTCCGGGCCCTGTGCGACCCCAGACGGTGGCGTGTAGTCAGTGCTTCGTGGCATGATGTCTGGGGAGGGGGCGCATGCTGTGACTGTGGGTGCGCCCAGCCGTGTGGAAGGCTGGCCGTGCTGGGGGAGGGGTGGGGGTAAGCGGCCAGGGAGCCCCGAGCTCCAGCACGGGCGTCTGTCTCTGCACCCCGCACCCCACTCACTGCAACCGCGGCCTCCGGGTCGAGGCTGCCAGGCCCGGCACCCGGCTCCCACCCCAAATCCCGCTGTGGCCCCGTCTGACCCCCACCCTTCACCCCCACACCGGCGCCCTCCCTCCTGCTGCTTCGTGCCTCAAATAAACAGTTCTTCCCTCCCCTTCCTACTCTGCTGTGGCTGCCTGGGAGCCCCCATCCCGGCTGGGTCCCCCCGCGGGGTCCTTGGGGCTCCCCTGCTGCCCTGCTCTTCCCTGAGGCCCACTTGGGGACAGTGGGGGGAGGGGACCCCCAAGTCCACGGCTAGGTGCCTGTGAGGTCTAGAAGGGAGCCGCACCTCGTGGCTTCCACGTGCGCCTTCCTGGCTGAGCGTGGCGGTGGGGGAGCCGCCTCAGACAGGACAGCTCAGGAAGCAGGGAGGGCGCCCTGCTTCTGGGAGGGAGGCGAGACCCCGCCCGGTGGGGGAGCGGGGTCGGACGGAAGACAGGGAGTGTGAGGGGACCTGGGCCTTGGGGCCAGGGTGCCGGGGTCAGCCAGGCCAAGGGGGAGGGAGGAGCCTGGCCGGCCAGGCGGGGGCTCGGCGTGCGCTGTGCGGGACCTTCTGCAGGGCCTATGGGAGCCGGAGGGTGGGGGGGGCGTGGGGGGGTGCTCCCCTGCAGGAGGCCTCAGACTGCCCGGGCCCAGCCTCGGCAGCGGGGTCTCGGGTCCCCGAAGGAAGCACGGCTCAGGCGAAGAGACTGAATCCAGACGCCCGGTGGGGGGCGCCGGAGGACAGCCGGGCCTTTTGGGGCCGACTGACGCACCGAGAAAAGTCGATCTTTATTTTCACAGGGGAGGTTACACAACATTCAGTGCGTAGTGTGATTGTGAAAAGAGGAACGGTTGCCACAGAAATAATTCCCAAGAACACAGAAGGTTTTACAGATCAGTCATGTTAAACAAAGAAATAACCGAAAAGTACAGGAAGTCCCACAGATCAACCATGGTAAACAAAGGTTATTGTGACCAAGAGAGTTATCAATCAGATGGCCAACGAAGCTATACGGGCACAAACTTTCAGGTGCCAGTTAGTAACTAGGTGTCTATTAAGATTCTAGGGATTGGTCTAAGTTAAAAGGGTGCAAGGGGTGATTTATAGGTATATAGAAATCAACTATTAGCCATTAAAATTAAATTTATTTCAATTAAATAGCTAATTTTTGGCCTATATTTTTTGATTTATACATCTTGGGGAGGGCCATGTTTTGTGGTCATTTCCATGTACTGAGATTATTATATTCAACTAGAACTCCTTGTTTCTATACACTCCTGTCCAGGGTATGGGAGGGGTAGTGGCTCTAATAAACCTTAAGCTCTCAGGTGGTGACTCCCTAAGAAACGTTCCTAGCAACAGCTTCCTCCAGCGTTCTGGCAGTCGGTCTGCCCATAGTTTAGTTTTGTCCTTAACTTCCCAGGTGGGCGGAGCAGGCAGCATTGGGGTTGCTAGGGGTCTCTATTCTGTGGTCAGCAAGTCATTCCACACAGAATCCGAGGCATCGTGCAGATTTTCTGTTATAACGCACGGGTATCTAAAACCCTACCCCCTATCGCTAGCAGGGACAGGCACACAGGAGGAGACAGACAGGAGACCCGGCCACAGTCCCCTCTGCTGTACAGACGCGTCCCACCCGACCCGACTGTGTCCGAGGTCAGCTGTGGGTCGGCTCCCGACATTGGACCCTGGCTAGAGGGCCGGGGTGCTGCCCCCAGGCCCCCAGCCGTCCCTGCTGTGCGCCCACATCGCCGTGGCAGACCTGCCGGGGTCTTCGGGGACCCGTGGACGGAGGCCCCGGGGCAGCAGCCGGTGGGGCGTGCCGTGGGCGACGTGCGTTCAAGGCTGCCGGGGGGGGGGGGCGGGAGGCGGAGGGTGAGCGGCGAGGGTGCTCGGCGGGGGTTCAGCCCTTCGCTCCCCAGGACGCTCCGGGCAGGGGCGCAGTCCTGGTCGTGCCGGGCGGGCCGGACAGCGTGCCTGCGTCCAGGGATGTGGGACAGTTGTCACCACGGAGGGCCAGGATTCTAGCCTGTCTCCCGGGGCCCCCTGAGGTCAGCAGCCAGGGAGGACCTTTGCACAGGGTGGTCACCGTGAAACCAAAACAGCCTCCTCATCGCCACGCCCACCGAGGGGGGGCCGGCAGGCCCCCGGATCCAGGGCGAGACACAGCAAACGGCCCCCGGAGGGGCCGCCAGGAGGAGGGTCTGCCCCAAGGCGTCAGCGACCCACCCGGCGTGCAGACGAGGGGAAGGGGACGCAGCCCGGCCAGCCTCGGGGAGGCCTGCTTGTGCCACGGACAGTGAAAACCGGAATCACTGGAATGGAGCCGCGTGAAAACCGGAGGAACTCAGGGGCCACGGGGGACCCCTGGGACACAGGTGACGTCACCACAGGAGCCGAACGCCTGAGTTCCGGGTCCTCGCGTAAAGTGTGGGGGCCGCACTGTCCACTCAAGCCACAGGCAGCTTTGCAGGAGGGACTGGGGCCGGGCCCGGCGAGAGGAAGCCGCCCTGGTGGACAGGGAGGTCTCCGTCAGGAACCTGGAACGAACTCTGGGGGCTGGGGAGCCCGGGGGCAGGCCACCAGGGGGCCGGGACACCTGCGCAACACGACAGACACTCTGTTCATGCTGATTCCAGCCGGGCACCGGCTGCTTTCCCGGTGACACTCACCGGTCACCCCTCCTCCCACGCTACAGAGCTGTCCCCGGGCTGCTGAGTGGAAACAGGCGCAGAAGTGGCAGCCACTTGCCCTGCGGGGTCTGTGACCCTGAGGCCCGGGGCTCCATCTGCTCTAGGGGAGGACCAAGTCCCTGTAGGGCAGGGTGGAGGCTGCCTGACCGCCAGGGGCGCCGCTGCGGCTCCAGGCCCTGCGCCCCTCCCTGGGAGGGACCGGAGCCGGTGGGAGGAGATACCCAGCGCTCCAGAGTTTCGGTTTCCCGGGTTCTGCCAGCCTGGGGGAGGAGCGGTGGGGAAGGGAAGGGTGTGGGGGCCTTGGGGGCGGGGCGGAGGGGAAACGAAAGCTTGTCTAGGGCACCGCCCTGGCATCTGCCCAGGTGGTGGTGAGGGACCGGGCACGGTGCCATCCAGCTGGGCACACTGGTCAGGGGTCTGGACTCCCTGGTCCCAGTGCCTGGGTGACAGCCCCCACTCCCCCGCCTCCACCCATGGTGGGGATCTCTGGGAGCAAACAGGCATGTCCAGTGGGGCGGGGGCTCCCGGCAGGCCCAGAGAGCCCCCGTCCCTCCCAGGTGGCTCCCCAGCCCTGCCTCCAGGACGAAGGTCGGTCCCCTGGCCCTGCCCAGCCGCCCACTGCCCCCGCGGCGCCCGCACCTGGAGGGGCCGCCCTGCCGGGCGCTGCACCGCACCCCCGCCTGCCAGGCCTCAGCGTCTGCCCGGCCCCCCAGAGGTGGGCAGTGCGCCAGGACCGCGCTGCAGGGGCGCGTGGCAGGAGTGGACCGGTGGGCCCTGTGAGCCCCCCCACCCCGGGGAGTCTCCGGGACCTTCTCTGGGAAGGGACCTCACGAGGGTGGTCTGGGAGGGACAGCTCCGGAGATGTCCGAGTGGGCCCTGTGACTCTGACGTCTTCAGGTGGAAGGCACTCAACACCTACCTGGGCAGGGGGTGGGGAGTCCCCGAGGTTCCAGGCTGGGTGGGGGTGGGGGGCGAGGGCGGAGGCTGAGCCAGCGAGCGTGGCCGCTGCGGCACCAGGCGGGCGGGGACCCCGAGGGCAGCGGGGCAGCGTGGCGGGGGTGGCCACGGAGCCCTCCCGCCCCGCCCGCACCCCTGCGGGCCCTTCAGACAGCGGTCACTGCGCTTCCCAGCCCCTGGCCTGGCTGTCCTGCTGGTGCACGGGGCTGGGGGTCGCCTGGAACCTTTCCGAGTCTGAGACCAGCCTCGCGGACCCTGACTCCGCCCCGGGCCCGGCTTCCACCAGGCAGGGGGCTCCGGGCAGAGCCCCCACTGCCCGCCCGCGAGTGTGCCGCACCGACCCCGCAGCTGTGGGACAGTGCTCCCGGCCCCACACGGACCGTCTCTGTGACCGTGACCGCGGCAGGGGCACTGCGGAGCCCAGCCAGCGCCCAGGACTCGGGGGTGCTGGCAGCACTCGGGCCAGAACCGGGTGGGCGGGGGGGGAGGGGGGCAGGAAGAGAGGGCTCAGAGGTGGGAAGGGCGTGTTCCCCGCACTGTAATCTGCACTGTGATCTGGGGTGGGGGGGCCTCCTCCTCACAGGAAGGCCTTGAAGAGACACAGCTCCTGCCCTGGAGAGATGGGGAGGGGGTCAGACCCCCCAGCAAGTGACCCTCCCCCCTTCCCTGGAGGGCCGGGGTGGGAGGCAGGGAGGCCGGAGTCCTGAATCTCTCCCTGCTAACACACAGCCTGTCGACCTAAAATGATAAAACAGCCAGTTATTTTACCAGCGGAACGGGCTCACTCAGGAATAGCAGAGGCCTTGCCCTTCGGACCTGCCGGCTGCAGGGAGCTGCAGGCGCGTCTGGAGAGCGGGGGGGGCAGGGGGGGAGCGGAGGAGCAGAGGGGGCCGATGGGGGGGCCGTCCTGAACAAAACGTCCCTCCCTCGTGGGTCGGGTCGCCGGGGGTCCGGCTGCGCAGGGCGGCCGCTGTCCGTGCAGCCCTCGGGAGCCAGGAGGCTCGGCCAGGAGTGAGTGTTGACCAGGGTGTCATCAAGGGCCTGGGGGTCTGCGGCCCAGCCCACCGTGCCCCCGAGGGAAAGGACGGGCCCGGGGCGGGTGTGTGTGTGTGTGAGAAGCGCCGGCCCTGCCTTCTCAGCTCCCAGGCTGGTCTGAGACCGTGGCCTCCCAGAGGCTGGGTGGGCTCGGGCAGCCCGGGCGCGGGCACCCGCTTTCCTAAGTCCTGCAGGAGGTGGTCAGAGGGATAAGCTGTAAGACGGACGGACGGACAGACAGACGGAGGGACGGATGGAAATGTGCCGGCGTGACTGGGGACTTCGGGAGTTTACGTCCCCAGGCAGTTAAAGCCAGAGCAGGGCAGCTCACGTGCGCCCCCGCCTGCCTGGTCTCAGCAGTTTGCCCCTTGACCCGAGCGACCCCGCTGACTCCAGGGTCCCCCCTCGCCGCCTCCCCGCGGCACCGAGGGGGGTTCTCACCGGCTGAGGCTGTTGCCAGGCGAGGGGAAAACCTCCCCCCTGCTGGGGATGGGAGGCAAGCTTCTTGCTGTTGGGGTCTGCCGCAGTCGACCTGAGAGCCCCGACCCCGGCCTCCGGACTCCCCTTTGGCGAGGTCTGCGTTCGTGGGTCTCACGAGCCCCTCCCCCGGGACTGCAAAAACTGGGCAGGAGGGCCTTCGCCCCTGCCTCCCCCACTGCTGTCGGGGTGCCGGGTGGGACCCGGTGCCAGAGTCTCTTGCCTGTGCCCCAAGGGGGCTAGGCATCACCCGCTCCCCACGCTGCCCTCGGGGCAGGTCCCCTGCTCCCAGCCCGGGCCCTGGCCAGTTGGGGTGGTGAGTCCGGAACAGGGTTCCCTGGGGCCCATGTGCCCTCAGCCGCAGCTCCAGGCCCCGGCGGGGGGCGTGGTCCCTGTGGGGCGGTGGAGGGGGCCGCCCCGCAGAAGGGGAGACCCAGGCCCCAGGAAGGCGGGGATGAACCCGGCCACACCAGGGGGTGGGCACCGGCCCCACCTCCACCCCGCCCTCTGAGGACCCACCAGGCCCCCAGGCAGGGGAGGCAAAGGCCCCTGTGGGGGAGGAAAACAATGGTCCCTCTGCCCCTCCAGATTCTTGGCCGAGACCCCCACCCAGATGCAGGGCAGAGCGAGGGGAGGAAAACCAGCAGAAGCTCAATGCTGCGGGCGCCTCCCGTGTGCATGGAGAGACCCCCGAAAACCGAGGGGCTCCCCAAAACGGCCACACCACCCCTTCAACACCATCTCCAGCTAAGGGTCCTAGAAGTTGTGAATGTAGTGGGGGGGCTCAGTCACGGGAAGATTTCTGGAAAGGCACCGTGGAGAGGAGACCCCGTTGCCCCTGGAGACCCCCTGTAAACCTGCATCTCTCCACCAAGGGGCACCCGCACTCAGGGCCTCATGGGCGTCGGCTCTTCGTTGAAAATAACCAGACTAAAATTTTGGGGGACAATTTCTGCTCCCCTTCACCCCTAGGAAGCCCAGGACGCATGAGCTCTCCCCCCTTTTCCGGCCACCCCCCTCCCCCGAGCTGCCGCCCCAGCCCCGGCACTGCCGCGGCCCCTGCCGCCCCGGGCACCCTCCGCCCGGTGTGCTCTTGGGTCCAGGCCCCTCCCTCCTCCTCTTCGTCCAAGAAACGCTGTTTCTGTGACGCCATCCACGCGGCCAAAGACCTGGGGCTGCGGCCAAAAGCTGACACTCCCTTCGGATCTGCCTAAGGGCTGGGGGGAGGCTGCCCCCTCCCCTCCCCCCCACCAGAGAAAAGGGGGCTCTGGGTCCCTCAGGGAAGAGGACAGGGCTTGGCGGGGGGCGGGGGGGGCTGCCGTTGGGGGGAAGGAAAGCGAGTGTGGTGGGGAGATTTTTCCGCACTGACTCACTCTGGGGGAGGAGGGGTGTGCGCCCAGGGAGCCTCTGGTTTCCATTTCCTGGAGAAGAAGACAGGCCCCAAGGCGGAGAGCACCGGTGGGGGGAGGGGGGGGTCGAGGGGGGGCGCGGTTTCTCCAGGAGGTACTGCCTGTGCTGGGTCCTGCCCACCCGTCGCTCCACGCCTGCCCATCCCCCCGCCCCGTGCGCCCCGCCCACGCGCCCACCACACCTGGGCCCAGCTCCACGGAGACATCGGCAGACCCGGGACAGCGGCCAGGCGCAGCCGGGGGCCACCGCGGGCAGAGGAAGGGCCTGGGCCCCGGGGTGGGGCGGGGTGGGGCGGGGTGGGCTGGTGAGACAGGGGAGGGAGAGGTCAGGAAAATCCCTCGGCAGATGGCATAGACCCGGGACAGGCGGCGGGGCCCGGCGGCAGAGCAGCTGGCAGCCAGGCACCGAGGGTCACCGGGGCCGAAGGCCTGCCAGGGGCCGGACTGGGAAAACAGAGACCCGGCCCCAGGGCGGGGGGCGGGGGCCTCTCCTCCCCTAGCCGCCCCCCCCACCCCGAGAGAAGGTCGGAGCCTGGGCGGCGTTTCCGCTGCAGGCCCAGAGGAGCACGGAACCAGGTGGGCCCCGCCAGGACCAGCTGCAGGGACTGGGCACCCGCTCGCCCGGGCACGGGTGAGCCCATGGAGACCATGGGAAGGACCCTCCTGGAGAGCTGGTGACTGTCCTGCTGAGGCCCGCCCCTGAGACCGCCCCTCAGGTCCCCGCCTGCAGGAGAGAGAGACAGGCCTCCGGACAGGGGACCCAGCCGGCACCACTCCCTTCTCCCCCCACCCCACCCCCCCCCTCTGCACAGGCAGGCGTCTCCCACACTCTAGGGCAATGGGCAGCCCACGCGGGCCCCAGGCTGACCCCCGAGCCCCTCCCCAAGGCCCCCTGTTCTGCCTCGGCCCAGTGAGCCGCAGAGCCCCTGGTCTCACCGCCCCGCCCCTCTTCATGAACGCGCCCCCACGGTCACGCGGACTCGGTGCCGGGGGAACGCTGGGGGACGCAGAGGTGGGAAAGTCTCGTCCGAGGTAGACGGTTAACAAGCCTAGCAGGTGACGCAAGTGTCACAGCTGCCGTGTCAGGAGGTGCAGGGACCTGGCCGACCTCGTCCCAGCCCCCCTGTTCCAGGGAGCTGGGCGACCACCCGCCCGCGCGGGGACAGCTGACCGCCGGGGCGAGAATGCTGCAGGTTTTTTATTAATCTAATTTTCCCTGAATTTCAAACCCCTCACCACGCTTTGTTCTCTCTTAGCAAAGGGCCGGCTTAACGGGGAATGCGGGGCGGTCCGTTGGGGCACAGACCACCGCCGTCCTCTCGGTCCGGCCGGCATCTGAGGGACGCGCCCACAGAGGCTCCGGCGCTGACACTGCTCGTTGGGTCTGGGGGCGGCGACAGGCAGCAGGAACGCCGCTGGCCTGGTTCCCCGTCCTCTCCTAGGGCGGGCCAGGAACCCACACACACACTGCCGCCGGTGCGCGGGGGGGGGGGGGCCGCTCGGCCGGAGGCTCGGGCCCTGCCTGCCGGCGGCGGGGAGCCGGGCGTGAGAAGCCCCGTGGGGGTCCAGACCCCAGCACTCGGGCGTCACCGCGCAGAGACGTGCTCCTGGGGGGCGTGTTCCGGTGGCGCCGACCAGAGTCGCCCCGGTGCAGGAAGAAGAAGAAGGTGAATGCTGGGGAGGAGAGAATGACTCTCGCGGCACCAGGGAGAGGCAGGACACAGCACAGGACGCACCCTGAGGCTGCCCTGCTGTGCAGACCAGCATCCAGCATCCTGGGGCCAGGAAAGCCTTCCAGCACTGAGGGGGGCGAACAGTGAACCCAGGGAGGGAGCGGGGGAGACCTGTCCCTCCCTCTGACTCCGCCGTCCAGAGCCTGGTCCCCTCGGGCTGACAGGTGCTCCAGCCTCGCCAGAAACACGGGCTCAGCTTGGGGGAGGAAACCTGGAAACTCTGGGCATCGTCCCCCTTATCTGGGGAGGAAACCTTTGAAAGTGCTCTGTCCCCAGGCCTGGAGGGCAGGACAGGGCCCATCGTGCCTTGGTTAATTGCCCACCTCTGGTCACTGTCTGTCTGACAAGGAGTCCCTGATGCTTGCAGAAAGAGCCCATAAATAACTTTGGAAACTGCCCCAAGATTTAATTAACTGCCCCCTGTCACGTATGTGTTTTACAACAGGATGGCCAAATGGAGTCTGGAGCAAGATAAGAATTCGGGCGGAGAGACCCCATGCATCCCTAAATTTGGGTGGTCACGTCCCCCCAGGAAAGATGGCGCCACATTTACCCGTTCATCAATATGTGACTTTCCCCCTCCTATCCCCCCCACTGTGTAAGTCCTGAGAGCAAAGGACCTGCTCTCTCTCGGTCTCTGGGGCTCAGGGGGCTCTCTCTTGGGGACTCAGGGGGCTCTTGGCTCTCAGGCCACAGGGCCTCTGGCCTCAGGCTGCCCAGGGGCGTGCCACCCTGGTCTCCAGCCTCCCTCACCTGCTTTACCCTGAAACTTTCCCTTTCACCCCCTACTCTGTCTGGTCCTCTTCTCTTCCATGGCAGCGGCCCACTCATAAACTGACGACATACTACTAGGTTTGCTGACATGTAATTCTGTACACACATCAGCAAGAAGAACCAGGTCTCTCCTGTCAGCACCACCCCCACCCCGGTGAAGCTGGACACCTGACCTGCCTTCAGCGAGGGTCCTGCAGGGTCCGTTTAGCTGCCCCGCCCCCACGCCTGCTCTCAGTGACTTTCCTTCGCTGACCCCGGTGTCCCTCGGCTGCCGGTCCCCGGCTGCCAGACTGCCTCGCCGGGGCCCCCGCCCCGCCCAGGGCAGCAGAAGCCCTCTCTGTGCGAGCAGGTGTCAGTGACCCTTTCACACGGCCCCGTGAGGGCAGGCTGGCCCCTGAGGGGCAAGCACAGGGGACAGGGCGAAGGGGAGAGCTGGCGGGGCCTGGAGGGCGCGGTGGGAGCTGCGTGCCCAGGGGTGGGGGGTGGGGAGCCGGGGGGCTGCCGCCCCTCTGCAGGGCCCAGCCCGCCCCCCCCCCGTGGCAGCTGCAGGGCCTCGGCAGCACCCTCTCTTCGGGAGGCTGCTGACCGGCCCTCGCCTGGGCTCAGAGCCGCCCCCCAGCTCCGGGCCCCCCCGCAGACCGCCGCTCCCACGGAACAGGGGCCCCCAGCACTCACGAAGAGCGACCACAGTCAAGGTTTCCTCCACCCGAGCCCCCCCCCTTGCCTCCTCCTTCCTCTCTCCCTCACCCCACCCCTCCAGGCCCTGGGGCGCTTCCTTCCCCGGGTCCCTGCTCCAGGTGCCGCTGGTGACGTTTCTGCCCCGGGCTGCCCTCCGTGCCATCTCTGACTGCCCCAATGTCACCTGCTCTCTCGCTCCAATGACCCCCCTGCCCCCGCCCCCCGCCCTTCAGGCTCCCTACCTCTCTCCACCCCCAGCCCCCAGACCGCTTCCTGCTGCGCCTGCAGGGGGTGGAGGTGGGGAGGGACCTCTCCGCTTAGCCACCCGTGGGCCCCGGAGGCAGGGACCCTGTCTGGTCCCCGTGTCGCCGCGGAGAGAACCAGGCCCTGCCTGGAGAAGGTTTGCTGCAGGGAGGGAAGGGTGCATTCGGCCCGACGCTGCGGCTTCCCCGAGGGGAGGGTCCCGGCCCTGCCTGCTGCTCAGCTGGAGCCGGCGGGCGGCGGAGGCTGCCACCCCCGGGACCCCAGGAGGCTCTCCCCAGGGTGGGAGCTGCGGAGGAGGGGCGGGCGGCCCCCACACCAGGCGCGCCGGGGAAAGGGACAGCCAGGGGGTCCGGAGGCTGGGAGGAGGGCCAGCGAAGGGGGTGGGACGGAGGGGAGGGGTGGTGCTGCGGTGGGGGGGGCAGCAGGGGCGCTCCGGTGCTGGGGATGGAGCCTGCCCCTTCTCTGTCATGCCCCCGCAGCCCCCCCCCGTGTCATGGAGGGGGCGCTCCTAGCCCTGTGGGCCCTGCTGGCAGGCTCGGACGCAGACCGGCTCTGGCGCGGCCCCAGGGCCGCCCCACGGGGCCTCGCGGGCGGCACCACACAGCCAGGTAAGGGGCGGACTGGGCGGGCCAGAGGCCGTGGGGGGACCGGGGGGCGCAGCCCTGCTCCAGCGCGGCCCGGGGCTGCCCCGCAGGCGTGAACCTGACCTGCTACCAGTGCTTCAAAGTCGCCAGCGAGGCGCTGTGCCTGCCCACCGCGTGCTCCCCCAAGGACCGGGTCTGTGTCTCTCACACGCTGACCTTCTCTCTGCGTGAGTGAGTCCCCCGGGGCCTTGGCAGGGGCAGCGCGGGCCCCTCCCGGATACCGCCGGGCCCTCGGGCTCTCTGCGGGGCGTGGGGGCGGGGGCAGCTCTCCCCTGCTGCAGGGACTCTGACTTGGGGCCACCCACCCGCTCCTCCCCTCGGAGTGCTTCTGTCCTCGGGGTCGCTGGCCCAGGACCTGTCGGCTGGGCAGAGGTCCTGCTGTCCCCGAGTGGACGGGAGAGCGGGACGGGCCGGAGGCTCGGCCGTGGGAGCAGACGCTGCCCCCAGGACCGGCCACCTGCCGGCCCCGCCTGCTGCTCGCCTGGCCACCCGCCCGCAGGGCTGGCTGTGCGAGCACCTGCTAGGACTCCACCTCACAAACAAGCCTCGCAGGAGGTTATGCACTCCGGCCGGAACGTGCGCCCAGCCCACTGAAATGTCACTGGCCGGCCGCCAGAAGGACACGAACGGCCGGAGGCAGCGGGAGGGGGACAGACCATCTGGTCCCCGAGAACCCGGCCCAGGGTCTGCTGGTCCTGCGGACCAGGTGCGCAGCAGTCCTTGGGGACCTGCCGGCTGCAGCAGAGCCGCCTCCGGTGTGGCTCCGGTCCCGTGGGCCCACGGGGGTGGCCTTCTGCGGGCAGCTAGCTCCCCACCGTGCACCTGGGGCCTCCCGCGCCCGCCTTTCCGGCCAGGGTGCCGGGAAGCGCACCTCGCTCCGTTCCTGGGCGTCCTGGGGCTGACTCATATGTGGAGGCCCCGGCGACGGAGGTGGGCACAGCCGAGGTGGCGGCGGCGGCTCTGCCGTGCAGGTGGCCTCTGCCTTGGTGGCACCAGCGGACAGTCGGTCCCGCCCCGCCGCCGCCGCCACCGGCCCGCACCCCAGCACCCTGCTTCCTTCCACCTTCACCTGCCCGTTAGAGTCCGAGGGGGCCCGTGCGCCCACGGGCCCAGCCCCTCCTCCGGGTCCCGCCCACACGTGCTGACCCACGGTGGCCGCCTGTGCCTGCCCCGTGCTGAGAGAGGGGACGCTCAGGCGGCTGGCGGGGGCAGGGGCGCGTTGGCCAGGTATTTGCGCCTGTCCCCCCAGTTTTGCCTTCTCCACCGGCCGCCCCGGCTGAACTGGGGGCCGGAGGCCGTGTCTGGTGCCCCCTGGGAGGGGGGAGGCTGGGGGTCGGGAGGGCTCTCATCCACGGGCCCCTCGCGTGCCCCCCACCTCTGCCAGGGGATGGCCCCCCAGCCCTGGGGCGGGGGTGGGGCGGCTGCTCAAGGTCGGAACCCGGGGGGACCCTCCGGAGGAGGTGCCCGCCTCTCCCCCGGGAGGGGCCGGCATCGTGCAACCGTCCCGTGACACCGCGTGCCGCGGCGTGACTCGGCGTGACCAGCGCACGCGAGCGGTGCTGCGCGGAGCAGAGCCGTGGAGGCCCCGCCCCAGGCGGCCCTTCCTCCCACGGGCCGGGTCCTTCTGAGGGCCTTGCTCCCCCCACCCCCGCGGTTCCTTCCACGCCCCTGCCGCGTCCTCGAGGGCGCCCCCGGGAGCCTGGGGCCCGGGGCTGAGCACACACAGGGCCCTGCCGCCCCGGCCCGTCCTCTCTGCTCTGCTTCCCCCTCGAAGGCCCCGGGAGGCCCGGGCGGGGGGGGCGGGGTTCAGGTCACAGCTGCCCGTGGGGTCAGACCTGGACCCTGCCTTTGCTGTGACTCCAAGGTGACCTTGGGCGGCAGCCCTGTCCCTGGGCCCTGCAGGCTGTGGGCTGCCACCGGGGTGGGAGGAGCGGACTGGCAGCGCTTGTGCAGCGGCCGGCCTCTGACCGTGAGGGCCCCGGCCGCGGGGGCAGCACCCCCACGGGGCCCCAGAGCCCTGCCTCCTGGACCCCGAGACCACCCGCCCGCTCCCTTCTGCAGAATCGAGGGTGAAGGTTTCTCTCAGCAAGCGCTGCGCCCCGCGGTGCCCCAACGCCAACACGGCGTACGAGTGGCTCTCAGACACCCGGGTGCTCGGCCGGATCGACCGGCAGTGCTGCGACCACAGCCTCTGCAACAGGGCGCCCCCGGCCCCAGGGCGGCCCTGGGCCCTGCGGGGGGCGCTGCTGCTCCCGCTGGGCCTCGCCCTCCCCGGGGCCCTGCTCTGAGCACCCTCCCTCGCCCTGCCAGCGCCCCCGTCCGCCCACCTCCGCCTGGGCCCCGCCTCCCTCTCCGCCCCACTGGGTGCGACGTGCGCTTCCGAGGGGTGGGTGTCACCACGGTGAGGGGCGGGGCGGGGCGGGGCGGGAAGAGCCTGGACTAGGCCGGGCGGTGGCTCCAGCCCTGACTCTGGCTCCAACCAGCTGTGTCCCCGTGGCCAACCTCCCCTGGTCCCGGCCCCCTGTGTCCAAGGGGGATCGGGCAGAGTCACGCTGTGTGTGGGACGATGACCTCCACTCCTTCCAGAGACAATAAACTGCCTGTTCAAGCGCACCCCTTCCTGCTCCTTCCACCGCCGCCGCCGCCCACCTCGCCCAGACCACGGCCCTCCACCCCAGCGGACCTCCGTGTTCATGTGCCGCCCGCGCCTGGGTCTTGGTCACCTCTGGACACAGCCATCAAGCTGGGCCACCGGCAGCCGAGCATGGGGACAGCCCCTGCGTCCCGGCCCCAGCACAGAGTAAGCAGCCGTCACGGGCTCAGGCCCGGGTCCTCAGAAGGGCCCTTGGCAGGGGTGGGCGGGCCCACCTAGGGGGTGGGATGCAGAGACCCTGGGAGGGGACAGTGGGCAGCGGGGCTGGAGACAGGGAGGGCCGATGGAAGGGCTGGAGGTGCCCATGACGGTCCGGTGCCTGGCCTGGGGGAGGCCGCACAGGTGAGGACAGGGCTGGGACAGGTGAAGCCAAGGACCAGCCCGGGGCTGTCCGGCTGAGCCAGGTCACCCAGGGGACATCCTGGAGGGTGGGGAGACAGAGGGCAGGGGAGAGCAGGGCCCTGGGCACAGGGGACCCGCCCGAGGAGCGCCTGGGGGTGGTCTGAGCGCCCCGGAGGCACGGCGGCCCGAACTGGAGAGGGGCCCCAAGACCGAAACCCTCAGCAGGCAGCCCCAGAGCCTCCGATAGGGTTCCCCATGGGGCAGCAACTCCCAGGGGCGGGGTCGGAGCGGGGGCAACCCCGCAGCCCGCACAGGTGGCCTCCGGCACGCGGCCGTTTTGCGCGAGCGCACTGCAGCAGCCGACCAGCGGTGACGGACCAGAAAGGCCGGGTGCTGGGCGCGGCCACACGGCGCGTAACGGCGTAGACACCACCGCCGGTGTCTCGTCTGTGTCGGAGATCATGCCTTCTGGGCACTTCCTGGTGGGCATCGGCGTGGTCGTGTGGCGTGGGCATGCGGGGCCCAGCTGACCGGGGCCTTTTCGGTTAGTCGGAGTGACGCCTGAGCGGGGGAGGGGGGCCCCCCGAACACGGGGCCAGCGGTTCCCATCGACATCCGCCCGGCGGTCCGGGCCACCCCGCCCCAGCGCACGGGAGGACCGGGGCCTCACACCTGCCCCCACGCCCAGTTCCTCCGGCCTGCCCACCCCTCAGCCCCGCCCCCCACTCACCTGCCCCAGGGTCTGCACCCCTGCCCGACTCCAGGTCCTCACCCCTGTACCTGCAATTGCACGCCTGCCCCCGGCCTCCCAGTAGCCGCCATTCCCTCCACGGACCGAGGTGGGCTGGCCAGCTCCCGGTGCCCCGGGGCCTGTGCGGACCAGGACCCCAAGGCCCCTCTGTGCCAAGGAGACGCTGCAGCTGGCAGGGGCCCCGAATCCCAGCCCGGAGCAGGAGCCCCGCCTCTTCGCTGCGGTCGCCACGGTGCGCACATTTTCCTGCTGAGCTTAAGCCCCGCCGGGTGTCCTGCGCTGGCCGGGCAGGCCTGTCACCATCCACCGCTCCTGTCCCTCCCCACCGGGCACCAGGGAGCTCTGGCGGCCTGAGCTTTGGGCCACGGCTGAGGGGAAGGGGTCGTGTTGCTGGGGGCGGGGGTCAGGGGTCTTCCCTCAGAGCCGTGGTGGCCGGTCAGAGGGGCTTCGATCCCAGAAGATGAGCTAAGGCCCGCGGGCTCTTTCCTCCCTGCACGCCCTCCCGCGGGAGGGGTCCCGTGCCGCTCGCGCTGTGGAGCAGCGAGCTCCGGCGGCGCGCCCCGAGACCGGAAGAGGAGCCCCGGGGCCCGGGGAGCACGGGGTGGAGTGGGCGGCCTGGCGGACATCCTCCTGAGCGGCGCCGGAAAACCCAGGCCGCCTTCGGAGCTGTGCGCCCACGGACGTGGCGTCCAAGCCAGACACACCACGAACTTCAGCGTGAACTTCAGCTGAACTGCCGGCTCGACCAGGGTGTCCGGGGGGGTAGGGGGGCGCGTGCTACTGGGGGCCTGAACTCCACACACCCTCTAGTCCCTGGGCTGACGCAGCAGCAGAGCTGCAGCCCAGCGTCCCGGAGCACACGGCTCAAATCGCCCAGGCTAGAAACCGGATTGCCGTGTCCGCGGACCGTCCCGGAAACCTCAGCGGGGAGCCAGCCACGTCTCCGAGCGGGCACTGCGGCCGCGGTCCACGGGCTCAGGGGGCCACTCCCGAGACAAACGGGGAGACGGGTGTCCAGAGGAGGTGGGGCGTGAGGAGAAACAGGGTGGGGGCTGTTGTGACCCAGACAAAACGCCCCCCCGGCCGTGCTCTGTGGCAGGGGGAAGCGAGAGGAGGAAGGCCCGGCCAGCTGGAGAAGTCGCTGCGACTGTGCCGTCTGGACGGCACAAAGAGTAGATATTTGAGAAAATAATAAACAGGGCCTCGTGGAAAGTACCGAAACTCCCCACATCTGGTGCCTTAGAATGGAAGGGCAGAGAAGTACCGAAAAGGTAGTTGAAGAAACAATGGCTGCCAATTTTCTGATTTTTGAGGAAAAAAAAAAAAAAACCCACAAAGCTGTAATCCAAGAAGCCAAATGAACCATAAAATAACATTTCCTGCTCAGAAAATGAACTTTAAAAAAGAATAGCCCCAGCTGGTGTGGCTCAGTGGACTGAGCGCCAGCCTGCGAACCAAAAGGTTGCCAGTTCGATTCCCAGGCAGGGCACATGCCTGGGCTGCGGGCCAGGTCCCCAGTAGGGGGCGCCTGAGAGGCAGCCACACATGGATGCTTCTCTGTTTCTCCCTCCCTTCCTCTTTCTCTAAAAATAAATCAATAAAATCCTTTCAAAAAGCAGCTCATCCTCGGGTTTGGATGGGAGAGGCGGAGTGGGATGCGTTAGAGACCCAACTCGTCAACGCAGAGGGAGTGACGAGGCTGCACCCCCGCCCCCGCCAGCCGGCAAAACCCCACAGCCGCCACCGAGTGGGGGGGGGGGGGAACCCATCGCAGGCCCCTGGCGCGGGGGCACACGGAGGGCGGGGAATGGGGCGGGCGCGTCGTTTCGAAGTGCCTCCCCCGAGGCCCGTGTTACACGCGGCGGGACAGGTGGCGACTTTGCAGGGGAGACGCCTGCCCGGCGCCACCTTCCCACCACCGGGGAGGGGACCGGTGGGCGTCCCCGTCCGCGGGGACGCGGGGGCAGAGCACGACCCGGCGCAGCGAGTGATGCGGTCGCCAAGATGCCTGCGCGGAGCGCGATCGTGGGCGCACAGCGAGCCCAGCTGGTGAGCCCTCCCGCGAAACAGTCGGCCGCTCCTCCCCGAAGGGTCAAGGCCAGGAACCAGTCAAGACAGGCGGACCGCCGCCGCTGACCGGAGGCACTGGGAAGGTGAAATAGCCGCCGGGGCTGCGACGGCCGGCGGACCAGAGGCCGCACTGGGGGCGCGCGGGCCGGTCGGTCGGACTGTGTCGCTGCCAACTTCGTGGCGTGGGTCCTTGTGCTGGAGTTACGCATGGCGCTAAAACTCGGGAAGTCTGTGTAAGGGTTGCGAAGAGCAGCTCTTGCGCTTGTTTGCAACTTCTTTGTAAAGATTTGAAATTACTTCGAGACGGAAAGCCTGGACTATGAGCCTCGGCACAGAGCCCCGTCTTTATCCTCCTTTTCTGCACGTTCTGTCCGGACCGCCGCCCTTCGCGGCGCCCCAGCCGCTTCAGGAAGTGGTGTTTCCATCGGCGCTGGGTCCTTTTCAACGACATGGAGGGTTCTCCCTTTTTAAAGACTGTGTGCGTTTGAACTGTGCTTCCTTTTAACTTTTACATGTGAGATTTTGTCCTTATCTTTTATTTTATTGATTTCTAACTGAATCAAGTCTGAGTCAGAGACTATGGTCCTGAGATATGAGATAAAGAGGCTCCTGAGACCCTGGCTGGTGTGGCTCAGTGGATTGAGCGCCAGCCTGAGAACCAAAGGCTGTGGGTTCAATTCCCAGTCAGGGCACATGCCTGGGTTGTGGGCCAGGTCCCCAGTAGAGGCAACCACACATCGATGTTTCTCTCCCTTTCTTTCTCCTTCCCTTCCCCCCGCCCAAAAAATAAATAAATAAAATCTTAAAAAAAAAGCAGGCTTCTGACAAATGATAAAATCTGGACACCGTGAACAACATCAAGGACCAGGAGGCCTTGCTCATGCGTGCACATCCGCGTGCCGGCGGCCTGGGTGTCCGGTCACTGTCACGGCGGGAGCCGGAGGGAGCCCGCTGGACCGCTGCTCTCTTGGACCGTGAACGGCACACAGTGAACTGTTCTCTCCGGCCCCGGCCTTTGGGCCCCTCGCGGGAACTCAGGGGGTTCTAGGTCCGTCCCACAGCCACCTGTGTGCCCCCAGGTGCTCCGCCGTGTCGAACCCGGTGTCCTGTCCTTGGGTCTGTTATGCGGGGGCAGGGGGGGACGCATCACGGCTGAGGCTGAGGGTGATGGCGTGCAGGTGGGGGGACCCGCCCCGCCCCTCCCCCGCTGTGACTCAGCTCCTCCTCCTGCCTGAGGGGCAGAGGCCGCTGACTTAGGATTGGCAGGAAGCCTTCCCAGTAGCAGGGCTGCCCCTCCTCCGCTGGGCCCCAGCTCAGGGCTGAGGGCAGGTAGGGGACTGGGGGAAGGCGGCCCAGGTGGAGGTGAAGCACCTGAGGGGTCAGGAGGGCATGGGCAAACGGAGCCAAGGGAGTGGGGCAGAGGGAGGAGAGGACAGCGGGATCGGGGTGCGTGATCCTGGGGGTCCTGGAGGGGGCTCTGGGGAAGGCCCTTCCTCTGCCCCCCGACGCAGCCCTGCCGCCCAGGCCCTGGGAGGGGCGCCCCACAGGCCACCCTGGGGTTGGCCCGGTGCAGGCGGACAAGGTGAGGCCAGCCAGGCCGGTGGGTCTGTTCAGTGAGGGGCAGAGGCCGCATGGGGTGTCCGCCCCTCCTGCTCAGGTGCACATCACATTGGGGGGGTTTCCCTGAGGCCCCCTGCAGTGCATGGGGGTGGGAGGGGGCACTGTTACGATGGAGGCTGCAGGCGTGAATGTCAGGATCCGGTGTCACTCAGGGTGCAGAGCCTGCGGTCACATGCG